GTGTTCAGACCAATGATTCGCGATGAGGTGTCACCTGCAACTCAGCTGGTCAAATCGCCAGTGGCTGGTTTTAATCATAAGGCTGGTCACCTGTTTCTACAGCTTATCTTTCAGCTTGTAGTGAAGTCTGCTGTTCAAGTCAAAATGACCTCAGACGGCGTGTTCGCTTGCTGCGGCAGGTGCCTAATGAGCACAGTGTTAAAGTGGCTGCGATGAGACAACCAGAGGGATGAACACATGCACAAACTTCAGTGCGCAGCCAGACCAACTTACCCCAACAAACCACAGAGAAGCTCGGATTGCAACACACACAGAGGTCGCAGAACTCTACTCAGGACACCATTACTTACATTACAATCTTTACACAGCATAGTGGTTTGCTGCCGAATCAATGCTCTGAATGTTGCATACAGAACCTTAAAAGCACTGTTTAATTATTTTGAGGTTATAAAGTTGGTTAGGCCTTCACTGCCTGCCAGGAATACTGATAAACATCTCTAACAATAAACCCGCGACAGGCTCCAAAAAATGTGCAGCTATCATAATGAAGACACACGCTCTCTCCAGGCCAGTGGCCTTGGCAGAGTCATTTAACAGCCTGGAAAAATAGCGGTCTTTGACCTGAGAGGCAAGTGACACTGCAGTTAGGCGGATGCCATAAAGCGGTAATCTGTGCTGTGCTGCATCACCATGGTAACGTGCGTGCCAGTGAGTACTGTGGATGGCAGGGTGCGCCTTTCATGGCACCGCTACACCCATCTGACTCACACACACAAACACACACACTGTCATTATTACAAAACCTGATTGCAAAACATCATTAGCAGTATGCCAGATTGCGCTGGTGCCAAACTAGCCGTCATGTTGATCCCAAACCCACAGACAGGTCGCAGATTACGCTGAAAGCATAGCGAGTCGGGGGGGGGGAAACACTGACAGCTCCATTCCTCTCCACTCCGCTTTTCCTTTATTTGGTTTCTCTAATCCATCTTCCCCTCTCTTCCCTCCTCTCTTCAGCTCCTCTTTACTCTCCTTCTGTTGTAATAGCTCCTTTTCTCTCCTTTAACCTCTCCTCTCTGATCTAGTCCTCTAAAATCTCAGTCCCTCAGCCAGCTGGCATCAGGACACAAACCTTCCTCCACCATGGCACAGTGTCAGGCCCGAGAGAGCAGGAGAACCAAAGACGGAGGGAGGGAGATGAGTACGCTGAAAGCAACAGTGATAAAAGGAGGTGGGAGAGGGAGAGGAAAGAAAAGAGATGACAGGTAAGGACAGCAGGTGGACAAAACGAGCCAAGAGGGCCAAAAAAAGTAGAGAAAGGAAAGAGAAAACAAACAAGGAGATAGAGGACAACGAGATAAGTGGATAACAGAAGGTGACAGCCACCGTCTTATCTTGTCGTTCTGTTACGCTCACCATTTCTGTTTTCTTCCTCCCATTTCATCCTTTCTTCGTGTAATCAAATCATTATCATTTCTCAGCAGTCAGCATGCATTCATGTGCATGCACAGATACAAACAAACGGGCATGCTCTTGAATCCATTAAAAAAAAAAAAAAGCAAACAAACACACACAAAGCCATTGCTGCTGGATGAAATCCCTGAACCCCCCAAAAAGTCTATATTTTTCAAAACTGACATACACTGGATACTTTAAGTTTCACTGTAAAGGATCTGGGGAGTTTCATTTTGCGTTCTCAGGAACCATTCCCAGCATGCTTGATAAAGTGACTTCATCAAACAGACAGACATTGACAAGTTAAGTTTGCGTCAGACGCAAATATGACAAAAGATGTACTTGAAGTATGAGGAAGAATTAGACATTTCCACAAACAGTCTCGTCCTTGAATTCCTTTGAAGCTCTCTATTTTCTATACACATAAAACTTAACAAGACATCAGTAAAGAAAAAAGGCTTCATCGTGTACTTCTGTTGTATTCATCCTGTGTATTTTGATGAAGTGGTGTGAGATCCAGGCTTCATTAATAATGCAGCCATGGTTTGATGACCTGGTGCAATGATGAGAGGAGCACTGACAGGACAAGCATAAGGGTTTAAGTCTTGTTTGACGGGCCAGTTCATGCAAATCACACAAAAAAACACTATTCAGTGGGGCTGGGTTTTAAAAAATGTATTTTCTAAAATCACATCAATCTTTATTTGAATGATCCACTATCATTTCGTAAAATCTCAAACTTGATCATTCAATATATGCCCTTTCCCAGTGCATGACCTTTAACCCCATTAGCCCTGTATAGACAGCTTTTGATTCTTTACACAACAAGATCTGGCCACAAAACAGACTAATGGACATCAGCTGAATCAAAACATGGTGGGAGCTGCTTCACTGAAGCCACCGCCAAGCCTAAAAACAGATGTCTGGCTGCATTTAAAAAGTGTGAAGACAGAGAAGAGCTGGACACAAGCAAAGCCATTTGTGAGATGTGCAAAATTTGAGGCGAAATATTGTGGAAATATCACAAATTTCCAAAAAACTAGAAATCACCGAGATACGCAATCTACAAAACGTTCGTTCTGGAAGAAACCCCACTGGAGTGTTTTCTGCTGTAACATGCTCATATTAAGTAACATTAACTTAAATGTAACTGCTTTGGCGTCAATTCTTGATATAAACAATAATATTTTTATAATGCACTGGGTTAAATCAAGCTGGTATTGAATCGAATTGAAAATCAAACCAAATTGGTACCTTGTGAATTCGGAATCGAATCAATTTGGGAAATCAGTGTTGATACCCAGTCCTATTGTTCAGTTATCTGAATGACAGAGCTGCGCTTTGCAAGCCTGTGTTTTATATTTAATAAGGCATTCCTAATCTTGGTGAAGTAGAAACCATATCAAAGTACATGAAATTCATGATTCTTTTCTATTCTACTAAACTCCGACATGCGGCTGTAGTATAATATGGTGACACCACTGGGGCAAAATTTCATTCTGGTTGGACAGTTGTGGCACCAATTCTGCTCATTGGTTCAGAGTTCAGGTCTGACACACGGCAAAGAACCAGTGGTGGCACAGACCAACATTGCCCTTGAACACACCGCAAAGACAACAGCCAATGGCAAACTGGCATATATGTTCTGTGCCTAAGTGATAGGAAATAACTCTCCACACTGGCAGACGGTATTACTCTGTATTCGTCCTAAAGAAAGGGAAACTAGGAAACCAACACAACAGATTCAAGATGCTTGTCAGGCAGTTAGTACATTAACAACAAAACCTGATGTTAAAAGAAGAAATTATGTTTACCGTGCACTAGTGAGAGAGTTCAATAGCAAAAAAATAGCCTTACCTCATATAACAAGTTTGTTTCAGTCACACTCCCTCTCGATTTTAGTTGTTTGTTGCCTTCCTCACTTTTGTTTCTCTACTCATGCACTGAGCTGAACTGACAATCACAGTGATTACTCCAACCGATGAGCTCCAACGGGCTCTGACAGACTCCTTTATCTCAAACACCAATTCAACACGCTGCATTGGCTGAAAAACAGCCAACAAGGGCCAATGGGGCAGAAAACACTACAAAAACTAAGGTGTCAGCAGCTCACTGACGGCCCAACAATGGCGGACAGCCGACCATCAGTCAGGTGTGTCAGGATCCTTCGTTCTTCGTTTCGTAGGCTTTCTGTTAACTGGCATTCCTGGCACAGCGCTTTTCAAAGAGCAACACATTTGGGACAGAAAAATCTAGGATTTCCCTGAATTTTGATCCAACAGGTCCAATTAATTGGGTAGCGCTTCTTTCTGGGACCCCACCCTGTCCAAATGGATATGTAGTGTCTGAATGTATTTCACAGAAACAAGATGCTGATACATGAGAAAAATAATGTGATGAAATCTTTATATGTTTTTATAAAATTCTGTTTTCAGTTACACCCATTGGCCAGTGATGATAAGTTTCCCCATACAAGTGAGTATGGTGTAAAAGCATTCATTAATTTTCTGCACCCGCTTATCCTGGTACAGGGGGTGCTGGAGCCTATCCCAGCTGTCACTGGCCAAGGCGGGGTACACCCTGGACAGGTCGCCAGACTATCACAGGGCTGACACATAAAAACAGACAACCATTCATGTTCACATTCACACCTACGGCCAATTTAGAGTCACCAATTAACCTGCAAATCTTTGGACTGTGGGAGGAAGCCAGAAAACCGAGAGAAAACCCACGCAGACGTGAAGGAGAACATGCAAACTCTCCCATCTCTTAACCTAACCATCAAACCTGATGCTGCTGGGTTTGTGGAAAAGCAAAGTAGCAGAATAGGTCTCATTTATTATAATTCATTTGTGGGACTATGATCAGTACTGCGTGAAATGTCGGCAAAACTTGGATTTTCCTGCAATGCAACAGTTCCTGTCCTCATGAGCACTTGGCTGCAATAACCCGTTTATGTGCAGGTCTCATCTGCAGCAACAAGGATAGGAAAACAGAGTCAAGTGGTATGTTAAGTGTATAAGGTTACAGCAGGAGTCTGATGATGAAGTGATTCAAGTACTTGCAACGTAGAAATTATGCTTAGCGTGTAATGTATTGTTTCATCAACAAAATATACCATTGATAAACAAATGAGCACAAACATAAAGAAATCAGCAAATGGTCTAAATAAAGTATTTGTTTAAGACATGCCTGTCTGACAGTCTGCCAAAAATATGAGGATATTTGTCAAGATGTCTTAAATTTGTCTCCTGTAAGAGTGAAACTTAATTTTACACCCTGGACATAGAAGTTTTCAATAAATAACTCAAGGTCCACTTCCTCACTGTTTCCATGGCTTTCAATTTCACACATCATGGTGATCATCATAAGATGGATGTACATAGGTCATGTGATGAGTCATCTCTATAACAACTGAGCAAACTTCAGGAAAAGCTAGTATGGTTATGATTATTTTGTCAAACTATCTCCAGCACCATTTAAATGCACAAGAAACACACACTCTTTTAACTAATGTGGTTCATGAAACAGCACAACGCACTTACCTTGGGCTCCATTGAGATGAAACTATGGCGACCGCGGCTGGACAAAGTCGACCTCTTGATGGTCCGGCTATGGAAGAAGTGATAGTGGTCTTTGAGATCCCCAATCTACAAAACAAATATGCAGACTTAGGAAATGTGTTTATTCATTCCATAACCCTTCTCTCTACCTCACTGCAACTCATTAAAAAGATTTTTTCCACACCAAAGTGTCCTAAACATTATCATGAGTAACTGCTCTGGCATTTTTATTCTCGTAGAGATGTTTGCATTCCACAGATGAAACAGATATCAGACATTACTGTGTACACATCATAAATACACATGACATTAGAGAAACCAGTCGCCAGAAGAAAATGTTGACATTGTGCATTTCTGCTCACCACAAATACGAAACATTGGCACATTTCATATGTATCTTATCAACATTTCTTTGGTGATGGAGTGTGAGCTGACTTTGTCATCAGGTGGTGAAGAGGATAGTGGATAATGTGTCACCTAGGAGAGACACCTACCGGCGAGCTGCAGACCACTGTTCAGTTATAACAAATAACAAAACCGGTTTTAATTTAGAGAGTCATTGCTGTGGTTCAAGCAGGTTTTTAGGCAACAAACATGAGTGTCTTTAAGCAACCCATCACTGTTTTTCCTGCTGGGATTGTGGCACTAAAAGCTGTTCCTATTAACCAAGACATTGCAGCGTTTCTTGCTGAAACATTGGCATTAAAGCTGTTGTATATTACCAAGACATTGCTGCATTTCCTGCCAAGATAGTGGCAGAAAAGCGGTTGTTTTTTACAGAGACGTCATTGTGTTCCTGCCATGATAGTGCCAGAAGAAGTGCAAGTTCTTTAGTAAGACATCACTGCATTTCCTGCAGAGATGGTGGCATGAAAAGCAGATATTTTGTTACAAAGACGTCACTCCTTTTCCAGTGGGGATTGTGCCCCCAAAACTGGGTATTTAAGGCAAAACATGATCTTTTACTGACCATGTGGTTTATGTACCTAAACCTTATCACACACTTATCAGACATTAAGTTTCAATATATCCACTACATAATAATGTGCAAATGTAACATATCAGTGGTTTGCAGAAACATACAATGCCAATATTTTCTCTGGCGAGTATGTTGAGGTAATCACAGTCATTAATCAGTAGGGTTAACTCCTGTTGTGAGTGGCTGATTGCTTTAAAGTCATTTTAGAGAAGTGCCTTCTCTTAAAATAGTGAAGTTACAAATTTCTATGTCTACATTTTTTCTGTGCTATACATCAATTTTGTTGAGGTCTTACAACCTGTCTGAGAAAAAGACGAAGAGACCTGGACTAAAAGGTGAAACATAAAGGGCAGACAAGTCAAACAAAAACAAAGAGCCACAGAGAGACACAAAGAGACAGACTGGAAGTCAGACAAATGTGCAAACAGACAAAGACTTTGAGTGACAGAGAGATGAGAAGGACAGAGGATCCGCAGACAGACAATGATAGGCAGACGGCAAGCTGCTGGACGGTGATTAGTTTTAATAATTGATAAAGACCACACAATCCCTCAGATGATCAAACTGTCATGGCTGCCAAGGGTCCTGTGGTGCGTCACTGATCCATGGCTGAGCTCCACCGCCACAGAACCCATTAGATCAGCTTTCAGCTCAATGCTCATGCACACACACACACACACACACACACACACTCCAACTTCCAGACTGATAAAATGAGGAACAACAAAGTGCCAATAGGCCTTGCTGGATCACCTTTCAGCAAACATAAACACGCAGCACACGTCAGATGACTTGAGTAATCAGATTAAAAGGCATTCTACATACTAACAAAATGTGCTTCCATAATAGGCGGCTGCCACTTTGGATGCTTCTCATAGTGTAAACAGGTCTCAACATATCGTGCTTCCACTGCCTATTTAATCTACCCAACATCTGCCCTGCCATTAGCAGGCCACCCTTCCCTCCAGGAGTGTCAGTAAATGGGGAGCTCCTGGAAAAGCTCTACACACAGAATTAAAAGACCCTAAAGCCCAGCTCTAAACTTCTGCTGCGCTGCTCTTTTTAAAGCCATCTACAGTCTGTCGTTTGCAAGAAGCACCCATTCATTCCAATTACAGTGACATTTTGAGATTCACAACCTTTGTCATAGCTTCAGCACCTCTTCAGGTTGTACAATACATTGGATGTGCAGTCTCTTAAAGTTTCAGTGTGAAGGATTTAGAGGGACACATGGGCAGAAATAGAATATAATGTAATATGTGTGTTTTCTGAGGTGTATAATCACCTGAAAAAAATAATTGCTGTGTTTTCATTACTTTAGAATGAGCCTTTTTTATCTACATAGGGAGCAGGTCTTCGGAGATTAACATGTTGCACCACCATGTTTCCACTACAGTAGCCAAGAATGGACAAACCAAACACTGGCTCGAGGTGGGGTCATTTGTGTTTTCACATCAGCCACCGTAGATAGTAGCCGCTCTGCAACTAGAGTGTCGGGAAAAGGCTGATTTTCTTCATATGAAACTGCTTCATGCAGTGTGTTTCCTGGTTTACATTACCAGATTTGTTTGTTTTGGAGGAGGAGACCTCTGCAGATTATCAGCTCCCAGTAAAACCTCCTGAATGTCTGGATCAGAAATAAGGTGGACACACATTAAGTTATCAGAAGCCCTTTTTAGGTAGGAGTTGTGCAAATTTGCAGGAAAGCCCACTCAGTCTTTTTCAGCACTGGCAGCGTAAAAACAAAATCGGGGAGTGCGGCAAAATGCCGCCTACCTACTTTTGTTTATACAGAATGTGCCTTTTTCGGGGCAATGGGGGGTGCGAGCATGTAACATGTAGCTCAGCGTGTGATGTAAACAATGATGTGGGAGGGAAGCCGCGGCGAGTCAGTCCTTCGGCGATTCTCTCTTAAGTCGGCCTGTTCTTCACCATCCCCGTCATCTGACAGTTAATGGCCTCTTAGTTTGCGAGGACAAGGAGGGCGTGCAATTCCTTGTCTCCCCAGTTGCTCATCTTTACAGTGTCTGTCAGGTTTGCGTTTCCCTCTTGCTACTAGCTGCTCGCTAATTCCTGCTATCAGCTGTTTCCTGTTTATCCACCGCCACTGGGTCTCATGTGCGGCATCATCAACAGCTCCTCCCACAAGTCTTCAACAGCCCCTCCCATTGCGGAAGGCCACCTCGGTCTTTTTAAACCAAAAGGATTCCACCAATATGACTACCCTACGAGACGGAAAATTGGGCATCTCGGATCAACTTGCCGATCCGGCTTTGTGTGTCTAAACGCTCGCAGCTTGCTGGCAAAATGGCCCGACAGTCGTGGAAAATCTGCCAGTGCAAAAGGGGCTAGAGAAAAAAGGTGAACACACATTAGCAGGTGCTGGGCTTGCAGCCTGTCTGCAGCGTGCCAAACAGCACAGGAGAAACATTGATTTGTGACATGAAACTGCTTTATTCAGTATTTTAACTGTTTAAATCCCCTGGTCTGTTTGTTTTGGAGAGAAAGAGGCCTCTGCAGATAATTTGACTCCCGCTCAAAACCTCCTGAACAATGAACACTGAAGGAATTCTAAGCAGAAGTTTCAGCTGGTTGCAACCTGCAATCCTCACCTCAAGATGCCACTAAATCCCCCTGAATCTTCCACACTTTTCCTTTAAAGGGACACTTCCTGTAGTGCGATTTATCAATCTAGATTGTTTTGATGCCAGTTGTCAAGCGTTGGACAGCCAACCATATCACTGCACAGAGGGAAGCGTGCATCTGCTCACAAATGAGAGGCTTGTGCTCATGACAGCTCGAGATGTAAACATAAATGGCATCCTCGGCTGAGCTGTAACACAAGCTGGCAGAGGCTGCACACTTCCTTTTGTGCGGTGATACAGCTAAGGGGTTTAGTTTGGTAGAAAGAAAATAGTTCCTACATGCACCTGCTCACGACAAGGTCTGTGGATTATCTTGAGTAACCCGGTCATGATTTCTGGAAAGAGACATTGCTGTTGAGTCTTACAAATGTATGTTTTGCAACTTTGAGCACCACAAGCCGAGTGCCATCTAGTTCCATTATAGGCAGACATTGCTACGGCTGATATCTCCAACACTCAGCAACTCACACCAAAACAATCTAGATTGATAAACAGCACTATAGGTAAGAGGAAAAATATGTATTTTTGATTTGGGGTGAACTGTCCCTTTTAACTTCTGCCTTGAGTTGTTCCTGTTATAGTTATGACAGCATGTGATCAGATGCACTTGCAGGGGTTACAAAGTTTACTGAACTTTCATTCGAGAGGCAACAGTGAGTCACAACTTCAGCATAACCTCTGGTTACTGGGAATTCTGTTGTAACAAATCTGTGAAGTACAACTACTTCCACTTCAGTGATTCATGATGTGTTGCATTACTGACTTTTTTACTGGATCCATTAATTCTTCAATGTCACTTGAGACAGAGTCCTCCCAGGAATTACTCAAAGGTGATAAGACATCTCCTATGGAAATTATTCTGAGTATGTCATTGCTGGGTCAGACTGCCAAACTTCAAGTTCAAGTTTGACCTGGATGAGTTCAGGCACGTGCTCGCTGTCCACGTTAAACAACAGCATAAAAACAGGCATCACATGAGAAGATGAGCGCTCAAAGACACTTGAGGATTCTGCTATTGCAAGTCTACAGAAGTGTGAAGAAATTATAAAAGACATGTCCTCTAACTTCTTGCTACAGATGCAGCAGTCTTGTTATGGCTACACTGCTTAAGTAACATCAAGGATAATACTGATACAATATTTATTTCACTTCACTTGTATGTGCATACAAATGTGGAAAGTTACGGTCAAACTATCACTGAAATTTTTTTAATCAGTCTTCAAGGTTCAGGCACGTCATACTGCAGAATAATCTGCTATCTCCCTTACCCCATAACCTCTACCCCAACTGGCCCAGAATAAGAATTAAAATCATCTCCCTCTGGCTTCATCAACAAGCCAAAACCACTGGATGTCAGCGGATGATAAGTCTGGATAAAAATGATCGGTATGAGTGAGGTATTTGTGAGATATAAATGTTACTCTTGATACTTGAGCAAACTTTCCAGTAACAACACCCTGCTGGCCTGATGTCATAAGGACTGATATATTAGCACAACCTACTTAAATAACCTCATAACTTGTTATTGATGTAAACACCTCCCATCTACGTCTGGCTGCAGATCATCACCCTCCCTCTCAACAGCTCCAAGTCCTCTCCCATCTCTTCAAAGCACCAGTCTGAACAGATATCCACGTCTAGGGTCTTGTCAGCTGATTTAGACTCAATTTGGGCCACTGTCTTAGTCTGGGAAGGGGGCTCCACGGTTAAGAGGATTACCCAGAATTCCCCAACGAGGTGCTCTCTCACTCCATGCCAACTCTTTTCATCCATCCGTCCATCTATCGTCCCTTCTTCTTTCGCTCCCTCCTCCCTCCATCTCCCACTGTGTGCTTATCTTTGTCTGTTCTCCTCTTTCCACCCCTGTCAAGAAGACTATATTGTCTCTCCGTCACGTTTTCCCTACCCATCCCCCCTTTTCCTCCCTTTAACTACTACCCTTCACAACATAAAACATTTTCTCATTTAGCAGTCATGTCCCCAAATCATTCATCACAAACAGTCCGATCCTTATGAGCAGTACGAGCAAGTTTAATTGAATTGAAAAACCCTTGAAGTGTATCCCTTTGCAATCAACATGAGCATCAAACTGCAAAAAAAGCAATGAATCATCTTACTTGGTAAGTTTAATTTCATTCTTCATATACATCGGTGCAGCACTGATACAAGAGGGAGGGGGTTGATGACGGGGATGTCAAAGTTCACATTAGGAAACCAGAGTGTACTCTTATCGCTCCCATGGGAGCGGCTCTCAGCTGACCCCAAAACCAGGAAGTGAAGTAAAACTCTTGTCTATGAGGTGTCAAAGTCCAATGAACGCTCCATATTGAGATGGAAATTAGGGCGAGTGGTGGGGGTTTGAGGCGACACTGCACTCCACAGGGGAATTCCTATGGGGGGCTGGTATGGAAAGGGGGGGAGGACTCCACACATTAGTTCCCGTCAAAGAGAGGGGATAAACGAGGCCATTAAGGCCTGCTCTCTGGGGAGTATAGTGGGTGGGCGGGCTGGATAAGGCCAGGAGGAAGGAGGGGAGGGGTTCAATAGCTGTTGACTAGGCTACCCCACAACAACCTGTCAGAATGCCCCCCTCTGTTCCACGCTGTCTTCACGTCAAACGCTGGCAAGTGCAGGCTTGAACTACCCACGTATTTCGGTCACGATACTCTTAAGTATGTGTGGGGTCCATGTTTGTGTGGCGTATTTCTTTTGCCAACAAAGGACGCAGAATTTCTCTTTAAACTTTGTCAAAACACATTTTAAAGTGACCGGTTAAACCCTTCCTCCTGGACCTGTGCAGACTCATGTTGATTGATAAAACGACAGAAAGACAAACCCAACACAACTGTTTCCCTTCTCTGTGTATGTATATTTTTTATAGCAATGGTTAGGTTTTGTTTTAGACTTTGCTGAGCATTGGCCCTTGCATTTTGCCGGAAGCATCAGATCTAATGAAAACTGGAGGATCCTACACTGTTAAGGCATGCATAAATTTAGTTGCTTAAAAATGCAAACCATAAATATTGGCTTGGATTTATCTAGTGAAATATGGCATGCTTATTTGAACAATTTTTCTTGCAGTGGTGCTTCATCATTACCCAAGAAACCCAGACGAAAAACAGCTCCACTCAATTTGTGAGTACTTACAAACTGTATGGGAGCATCAAAAGAATCCATCCTTAATGTAAGCAGAGCTGATTTCTAGCAGCTGACCCAGTGGGCCTGTTATGGGCTGAGTGGAGATAACTCTCACAGGGAAAAGTGCAACAAATCTCCATCTCTTCCTCCTTGTCATGTATGTAATGTAAAACACTGCCAAGTTTTTAGATTAAAAAAGTTAATGTTGCCAAGTAAAGCTGGAGCAGTCAGGAGAGGTTTGAGTCAGACAATCCTGTTTGTGAACACATGCAGTGTTAAAAAGGACCAGCACAAGAATCTGTTTGACTGTGGAGCCTTTAGTGCCAATTCCAAGACCACAAACCAAACAGCACTGGCTGTCTCACTTGTGTGTCAAAAGGACCAAGCACATGAGTGCTGTGGCTGTGAGGCTGAGGCTGATAGTGAGCTGCCTTGGCTGCAGCCCGCAAACTGAACATGATCCGCGGAAACACAGCGAGGAGGCACCTGTTGTGCCATCCTGCTCCTGGTCTTCTTTAATTGTTCCCTGCAGCTTTTCTGTCTTGAAGGGAGCTATAGGAAGAGGGACTAAGAAAGAAAATCACAGAGAAGGTCCATGGCTCAGGTTTGGACTTTAGACCATTGACGTTTGACTTCATAGCGTGTGTCTGCTGGTGGAGGAATAACAACCACCATGGCATGCCCGACTTTTAGGAGTTGTCAGAAACAAGAAACGAAAAAAGACAACCACACATAAGAGGCAACTTTTGATGGAGCAATAGGCGACCTACCTGTCCCATGTTCCTATAGCCATATTTATCCGCTATCCGCTCGGCCACATCGGGTCCACCGGCTATCCTGACTGCCCAGTGGTTGGTGTAAATCCGAGCATTGCACGGCGGGGACGCAAAGCTGAGACTGAGCGCCAGGACGCATAGTAAGCTTCTTCTCCAGGCGGCGTTGCGGACCATCTTCCCCCACTTTTAACCCGACTCTTCTCCTCCTCCTCCTCCTCAGCCGACCAGGCAAACAACCAAACTTCTCTCCTCGCCGAACAAGACTCTCATAGAAACACAACTATCCGGGCAAAAACACTTAAAGAGAGAGAAAGAGAGGGAGAGAGGGGGGGAAGGAACGGAGCCCCGAGGAGGAAAAAATATACCTTATCCTCAAACCTCTGCTTTCCACATGGGAGAGTTGGAAGTTTGCGTTTCGTGTGCCCTCTCTCTGTCCCTCTCTCTCTCTTTTTTCCACGGCGGAGGAGGAGGAAGTGTACGTGTCTGAGCGCCGTGCGTGTTTGCGCGCGAGTTCGTGTACGCCTGTGTGCGCGCGGAGCTCCTCGAAGCTGATTTCTCTTCTCCACGAACAACTCGGATGTTGGTCGTTCAGCTCATCGGGCTTTCATGTGGCGAAATGGCTACAGCGCCTCCCCACAAATAACTAGCTGACACTCGGGAGAGTAGAAACAACTAAAGCCGCGGGGTTTCCCTGCCGAGCTCCGCTGGGTCTTAAAGACACTCAACTTGGATCCACTGCTGACCGCCTGTCCTCCAGACACAGCGCAGGGGGGTCAAACTGGGGGCCATGGAACCACCTGGGGGCCAGCTTCAAGGGCTTTCTCCAGGAGGGCCCCTGGGGAAGATAAAAGATGATTTACTCAAAGCTGAACAGTCTGGAAGTTATCCTTGTTAGATTATATTACAGAATGATTCTTTATTTTGAGTGTCACAATTGAACTTATAAAAGAAACTATTCTGCAGTTTACATCTTATGTCTGTGAGGCTACATAGCAAGGAGACCTTACAACACGACTGACACCAACATTTCAATATGGTTTAAACTGTAGATTGGCGCATTTCTGCTGGGGCTGAACAATTTTTTAAAAAAAATATTCAATTAAGGTTATTTTGACAGGTATTGCAACTGTGATATGATTGCAATATTAGAGGGAAAGACAATTCTAACATCATTATTCTCATTTTCATTCAAAATGGTGTGAAACAAATGTGTTTTATAAAGTCTGTAGAATACAATATGTAGGCCAGGACATCTCTACAGCACAGCAATATTTGACTTGAAGTAGTATTTTGACACACATTTTGCCTTTGACAAATATTGTGCCACCTGTGATTTGAAAATCACATATCAGCCCCATGGGCGGAGAATGAAACAGCAGGCCCCTGGGCAAAGACATGTTTGGCTGTTTTTGTTGTTGACTCTCAACTTTTTGTAGCCGTTACTCATCTCTCTGTGGTTTTACATCCCTTTGTGGTCATTTTACATTGTGGTAGTTTTATGTGTCTTTGTTGTCTTCCTGGTCAGGTTGTGTTTAATTGAGTAACATTTGGCAGGTGGAGGCCAGGGGGCTCTTGACACTTTGGGACCCTGGGCTTGTGCCACGTAGGCTCAGTCAGTAATCCATCCATGTTCAGCTCTAAGTTCTACAGAGTAACTCTAACCCTGACCCCGTGTTTAACCCTAACCCTTCCTCGACCCTATTTAACCAAAGTCTAACCTTATATATAAATTCCAGCGTTTTAAGATGATTATGGCATCTTTCACATGTTGGGGTTTTGTGGTCTATGTATTGCTTTCAAGATTCATTTTGTGTTAGCAGCTTACAGAGGAGTCCTTTTTTTTTTTTTTTTTTACCCAGATAGCAGATCTGTATTCTAACAATCAACGATTGTGCACATTTTCAGTGAGTGACTCAGTTGTTTATAGGTTTACTAGAGTGTCACATTTTAATAGCTGATACAGACGGCTGCATATGAATAACAGTGGTGTTTCTCTCCTAAAAGTCCGCCAGTTAACAAGTGGATGCATTACATTTGCTCCCCGTCCCACATTTTGAAATCCGCTGTTGAATGCAAGCCTTGTCAGTCTCCTGGGCAATATTGACACAGACATACCAATGTAAAGTTGGGTAAACTATGACCTCAACCTCGGTCGTCAGCCAATGGGAGACAGCCACAGACGCTAAAAAAAAACAACTACTATATATTCAAAAGATGTGAAATTATTCTTGTCTCCCATATAATACCCAACCCTCGTTCAGTTTTATGAGTATGATGAGTCGTTTTGTTGTTGTGAGTGTCATGGTTTATGGTTGATTGTCTGGGTTGTTTACAGTGAAATTAAAAAAAATTTACCCCAACTGTTTGAGTTTACCCTCACCTGACTCCCTGGACATGAGCTGAACTCCAACCACCATCACAGATGACCTCACTATATGCTTGGGTTATGCGTCCACCTCTGCCATGCAGGCCTTCTGCCCTTTATACCATCTTTACTGCATATCCCCCTCAATCAGTGAAGCTCTGAATGTCATGCCCCTCAACGCAGCACAGGTCACAGCTGACTAAACGCTGTCATTATGGAATGTGGCCGGTATTATCTGCAGTTGAGCCTTTCATTCAAGGCCTTTGTTGATTGATGGGTTTTTGTTTTGCAGCAGTTTCCCGGGGATGTCTCTGTGCACAGCAAAAACTCTGTTCTGCATGGGACACAAGTGAAAATCAGCATAATTGCACTAATTGCAGCCAATTTCTCGCTGAATGGACCCCGCTGTCACATCTCACAACAAGCAGGGGGACAAGAACATCTCATGGTCCCCCAGATGGAGATGAAAGGGAGTAAAGGGGGGGAGAAAAAAACACCCAGTGATCGTTCTCCATTCAGCCGGATGGAGGGGCTTGTAATTTAAAGGAAAAAAAAGGCAAGGAGACAAAACACAGCAGAAATTGATTTGAGTATCCAAATCAAGTACCCAGGTCACGAGGCCACCTTGAGAACCAGGGCCCCCAATTTCCATTCAGGTCTAAAATGTCGCAATATCCTGTGTGACAGTCTCACAGCTCCCCGGGTTTCTCCAGGGAGTGAACCGAGTGAACCCCAACAAAACGTCTTTGTCGACATCTGAGAGCGGATCGGTCACGAGTGTCAACAAACAGTCTGAGGGGCATTCCTGTGTGCATTCCTGTGCCTCTTCAATGAAATAACAGAGTGCATCGCGTGTTTAGGCCAAACACAACTAAAAAAAAAAAAAACTCAACACAACCCCCATGATACAACACAATGGAAGGCTCCAATAGGAAACTGCAGCCAACTGGCTTTATTCACCAAGGACACAGCTAATTTGTTCATTCAGTATCAAGCCCACCATTTCCAGAGGAGAACCTCCCACGATATTTTCATCCCATCAAGACTGGGGCGTTATCCCCTCCTGCATTCAAGTGCATCTTCCAATTACCTATGCACCACCACTCCTCCACACCTCTAATATCTCCACCTTTACTCTTGTTCTGCTTTTCAGATGTTGTGCATCTTCTTTTTTTTGTTAAATCTGGACCCATTTCTTTCTTTTGCTCCTGTCTTCTGTTTGTGTTTCTTAAGTTGCCCTGCGCTGCACCCTGTCTCTACTCCTCTCCTCTTTCTTTCCTTCATGTACCTTCCTGTTCCTGTTATTTCCTAAGGCTCATCGCTCTCTCTGACCCCCCTTATCTGTATCGCTCACTGGGTGGGCTTCCTGGGAGTTAGGGTTGACCTTTCAACTTCACTTTGACCTTTGACCTTGTAGCTGTAGGCTCCTGCACTTAGGCCACAATAGCACCTGCCACTCACCGACTTTCCATCCTCTCTGCTCGGCATCTCGTCCTCCAATCACCACCGTTCTCTTCTACTCTTCACCCTCTCCTTTGTCAGCCACATACCAGTGTTATGCAGGCGACTCTGGGGGCAAACACACACTATATGTAGGGAGACATGGAAAAGGGGGAGACGGAGAGAGTGGTAAATAAAAGGCTGGTCTTCCACATCCACGAGGAATGTGAGTTCTAACCTCAATTCAGTATGGTAATTAAAACACACAGTCAAATAATGTGAGATCAGTGTGTCAGGTTTGATTATTACAAGTTTAGGCAGTGTCACGCAGAGAGTTTAGTTGGTTTGTTCAGTCTTCTTGTGTCCAATATATAACCCATGACTGTGCATTTAATCAGCACCCAGGTCAGTGTCATGCAGTATGAATATAGAAGGATATATTTTAAATAATAGGATTTATTTGCTTTGTACCTGTGAGCTGTGACCTACCTGGTCTGGCGTCCTGTGTCAAAAAAGTACTCCTGTGGATGGTATGGACACGACAATAGATTTCATAAGACATAGCTATACATTACCATCTAGTGGTGACTGATAAGATTACACAGAGGAGATTGCTGTTGAATTCTGTCAGCATTTGCATATTTACATCCATTTACACATTTACCAGGTGGAGAAGAATAGCTAACTGTATGATCTGAGTTACATTATTCACCTAACTCTACATCAGAGGTGTTAACGCGCGTCACATGACTTGGACTTGAGTCAAATTTGAATCACAGATTGGATGACTTTCTGCTTAACTTGACAAAATCAAACAAGTATTGCATCATGACTTGGATTTTAACTCATGTGACTTCACTTGGACTTGAGCTTTTAGACTTGAAAATACTTGATACTCTCCCTGTTTAAAGTCCCCAGAAAAAGATCACCTAATCCACCTGAGGTAGGGAGGATAAAACAAATACTCCTGCTTGGAAAGGATCTACCTTCATAGACGCAATCACTTGCAGGTGATAAGAGGCCATATATGCTGTCTTCCTCCGTTTGTTCATTTCTTTGTACAGCAGCCATGATGTAGTTTATGTCCTTTACTACTTTGATTCATCTTATAATTTCACAAATTAGTTGGTGTCTTGGTTTATTGCCAATGAGTTTGTTTTTTGGTTGCAACTCTCTCATTCAATTACCCTGCCTTCAAAGTAAAACTGCTCTGCTTTAAATGGAACCTGTTGACGGCCTCTCCTTCCTCGCTCATATCAACTCCAGTGCTTCTCACATCCCCAGATGATCCATTTTATTTGAACCAGTTCAGTTAGGTTGCAGGAAAGAACCATGTAGTACTAACATTACATTAGTAAGCGCCAGCTGGAAAGAATGACACCAAAGATGATGTTGTTTCTGTACAAAAACTATGCTGTGGTTAACAAAGAAAGAATAAACAAATAAATTTAAAAAGTATTATTGATTTTTGTGTCTTTAATATATCATTACTCTGTTGTTAAAATGGCATTAAACTTGGTGCAGAGCCCGTTGTGACTTTTCGAAACTATAAGTTTAGGACTTGAGACTTACAGTACTTGTGACTTGTTATATGTCGGTGTCATGGGAGTGCACGAGATGTTCACAAATAGGTGATTTCAGCAACTTTGAATAGGAAGGAAGTCATGATGATCCAAGCAGATTTTTTTTCCACTTGTCAACAGTTTCTGTGGTGTTTAACGGTCCAGCGTATAGAATTAGGGGAACATATGATCAGGAATGGAAAATAGTGTACTATCTGTGTTTTCTGTGGTTTATAATCACCTGAATAAGCCATTTATACCAGT